TTTCAAACAATTCTACAAAAGAATTGACAATAAAGGAAGTGATTAAAAATGTCTTGGTAATTCCATCTTTGGGATACATTAGAAAGCTAATTGATCAAATAAATGATAATATTAATGAAAAAAAGAGAGAAAAAAAGAAATCAAGCATTTATTCTTTGGAATAGCAAAATTTTGTGATTTAAACAAAATATTAAACTTGCTTACGGCGATGTTGTTTCGAATTCATTTCATAAATTTAATCAAAGTAAAATGAAGAGGGGTCAAACAAGTCGAAAGAAAAATTATAAAGCACCGATATAATAATTTAAGAGAGGATTTGGATTTTTCAGATTGGAAAATCAGAATTACATAAAGGATATGGTGATTGAAAAAATATTTAAAGCATTCAAAGATGACAACAATGAAAATTTTAATTTTTGCTCCAATATATTTATACAGTCATTTTAAATGATGGCTCGCATATAATTTATTAGGTCATTTATCAGAAAAATTTATAATTATACACAAACAATAATCATTGGGAAGTTGTAAAACTAGATTTAGATACCAAGAAAGTTTACTTTGGTGATTCTTTATATTTATTATAAAGCTCCGATTGATTAACAGACAGACTATTGAATTTTATGGAATCTCTTTCAAAATGAAATCTATTATATTGACGAAATTCCTCGTCAATGCGAAATTTTAGATAACAATTTTAAATTACACTGAAAAATAAATCACGGATGAACAGTGAAAGACAATGAAAATTGATGAAACAATAGAAATTGATGATTATGAAGATGGTTATAAAGATGATAATTTTGAACATTTAATTGACATGACAATGAGTAGTGGCTAGTTCGAAACAATTCAAGATATTTCTGATGTAATAGAATTATCTTTGTCAAATTCGTTTGATCTTGCAATAGCAGACGTTAAAAACCATGCAAATGAACAAGGATTCAGTGCAAGCATTGAATTCTCTAGAGAATATGGTATTTACATTAGGTACAATCATTCTGGAAAACAAAGAGATAATAGAAAAAATCTTGATCTTTTAAATCAACATGATAAGCAATCCAAAAAAAAGATTGTCCATGGAAAGAAAATATTAGAAATTCAAAGACTCAAGTAACTCGTATAACTAAAATCAAAACATACACATAATTATCAAATTATTCAAAAAGAAATCGATTCATACAAATCGGTGGATAAAGAAATCTGAGACTTTAAAAACTCAATAAGGGATACTGATAATTTTATCCAACATTAATCCAGAATGGTTTGTTAGTTTCTATGCTGATAATAACACCAGAAGACTAAATCGAGTTTTTTTAGATGAATCCTGCCCAATTGAAAAACTAGCATAAATACAATGGTGTAGTAACCACATATAAAACATAAAAGTTTAAATAATGAATAATGTTGATCATTAGATAATGCAAAATTTAGAAATTTCCGAAGGTTAGGAGGGTTTCTATTTGTAATACAATACAGTTCTTAATTTGAATTGTTCGTTTTATTCTATTCGTTTTATCCGTCGTTTTATTCGAATTACTCGTTTTATAAAATAAATTACTATGGTTGCTAGTACTATATGACTTAAGAAAAGGAAATATTGATAAAGAAAAAAATTTTAATTGATTAGCAATGTGCATATTATTTTTTCGAATTCATTAATATTAATTATTATTATTATTATTATTTATTATTATTATTATTATTATTATTATTATTATTATTATTATTATTATTATTCGAATTCATTATTATTTATTATTTATTATTATTATTATTATTTATTATCATTAATTATTATAATTATTAAAAAATTTATTCAAATTATCCGTTTTATTCGTTTTATTCGTTTTATATCAATATCGTTTTATTCGAATTATTCGCTTATCCAATTTATTCGAATTACTCGTTTTATAAAACATAGGTCTTATTTCTTTAACAAGATAGTGTAAATTACAATAATTATATTCATAATCTATATCACTAATACTAGTACTATGACTTAAGAAAAGAAAAATGTCAGCTACTATTACTATTATTACAAGGACTAAGGAAAAATCGATTGTAATAATAATGAAAAAAATTTTTAAATGTGGATTAGCAATGTGCATATCTTAATTTATTCGAATTATTATTATTCGAATCAGGCATAGAACAACAATTTCAGAATATACATCACTTTTTATGCCTGTATCATATTTATCAAAATCTCAACAGGTACATAAAGCTCAAATTACAAACAAATTTGTAATAATGAATTTATTAAAGATTTTAAATTCCATTCAATTACCTCATTTGATATCAATTGATACAAAAAAAACTTTAATAATAATGTTGGCAATTATTTAAATAGACAATATTAGAAATAAGTGGCATAGTTGGAAAAGTCAAATAATGTCAGCTGGTGTCAAAACAACCTCACGTTTAGAAGGCTAACATGTAATCATAAAGCAAGAATTAAATTTTAATCCAAGTCTTGTTGAGGTGCTTGAAAAAATCGAAAGCGACATACAAAAAGAAATCGATTCTGGATGATCTGCATAATTTTAATTGGCTCGTTTCGCTGTAAATCCGTCACGTTTCCTTTACAAAAAAAAAATTTTTAAAATAATATATTTATTGATGGTCCCCAAGACTTCAAAAGTAAATAAGAGCCAAACAATCAAAAAATTTTACATAAATTGTGGAAATTAATTTCTTTTTACAATTCTACCACTCATATCAGCCAATTTGGTTTTTTGGATCTTTTTTTCAAACCTTATATCTTATTGTGTCTCGACGTTAAACACGTCAATAGAATGATAATTAACCTTCAAAAAATTTATTTGCTCCGCTAAAAAACTATTTTTGCTAGTATAAAGTATTCATAACGTTATGATCATACCGTACTGGATTTTGGGGTTCAAACAAAATCAGCGCATATTAATATGTATAGTGACAGGAATACTAAAAGCAACAACCCCTTATGCTTCTTTGGATTCCTAATCTATATGTGAAGTACATTATAATCAAATTATAGTTACTAACAATTTTTACCAAATTTTCTCGGGTTTAGATGTTGATACTTCTACTCTATTGAAAAAGAGATCATGTCAATGATAATCAGCCTGCTTATTTTAAAAAATGCTACGATCATCATAAGCTCTGAGTTCTGTCTGTAACATATATCGTCAAGCAATGTCTCTGGAACTTATGTAAAAAGTCATTCTGATCCATCAATTGAAGGATACATAGCATGGGCTAAAGAACAACAGGATCCAATTTATCAAATAGTGTATGAACAGGTAGGAAAATTTAATATTATTACCATAGATATACTTGTTGGGTTTAATGCTATAAAAATTGCATAATAGAGATTTTATTATCTGCAAGCTATTATCAATCATAGAACAGCTGTAAGAACTAATCGCCCTTTATTAAAAAGTGCTGGAAGAAGAGTCTTTTCTCCAATTTGGTCAGCTTGTCCCCATCTAATATATCAATTAATTGGAATTGCAAGTTAATGCAAATTCATCCAAGTGTGTGTGATTAGGTGGAGAAACATCATGTACTATCCATATCAGGATTGTCCAATCAGCATTAATGGTTAGATGTAATTTATAAGAAGTGAACAAGACATTAAAATCTTTAATATCTTCTGTGCCGTAGATACGTAAATTGAATAAATTTTATTTACTTGTAGTGCAAAGAAATTCATTGACGAATTGATATATTATGTGATAATTTACTATGGAAATAATAGTAGAAGCAAATAAAAAATTATAAGATGTATAATTCTCGCATAAACTTTTACAAATTGTTAAAATTCATCCGTATATTCATCTAAAAAATTATCACTTTTTTAATACATGTCTTCATCAAATTGGAATTTATAAATGTTTTTAGCATGCTGCACTAACAATGTTTAATTGCAGGTAATCGCATCATATAAAAAAAATTTTTAAATCTATGCATTTTCTATATTTTGTTGCGCGCGGATTTGAATTCCGCACACGAGAAGTTCAATTAGCCAAACAGAATGTTGTATCCAAACATCCCACCCAAAATTTATAAATTTCAACCAACTTAACGAACAACTTCGAGTTCTTGTTCGAAAAAACAAATGTTACATTAAATAAATTAAACTTTTTAAAATAAAACCGTTGTTTTTTACTTTTTTGTTTAAAACACTTTGGTAAAAAGGTAAAAATTGTGAGCTCTGGTAAGAAGGTCACGTTTTATTTGCTTTAATTAGCGAACAAAGGTTAGGATTGACGTTGGCTAACTAGTGAGTGTTGACAACGATTCATAACGTAATTTGCTTTAGTGAGTAGGCAAAGGTTAATTGGAAATACTGGCAGTATCATTACAATTATTACTCAAGTTGCTTTGTAAACAATAACAAAACAAGGGTAAATGACCGAGATAAATCGGTCACAAGTGAATAAAAGAAATCTTTGAGCTTTGTAAAAGAGTCATCTTTATTCAATTACTGACATTGAATGTGCTTACAGATTTGCAAGGCTTTCTAGGTACCAGAAAAAGGCAATAAGCAAAGCTAAAGTAAATCAATAAACTAATTAATCGACAAGTGCCGAATTATTGTGAATTTCTTGCAATTAACTGACAAGAGCAACCCAAAGTTAAGCCATACGTGTTAAATAATCGGCACTAACAGAAATGCTAACTTGCAGTATGAGGACCAATTCGTTACTTCCACTTTGCCATGAAGAGCCTATTATGTCAAGGTGATAATTATTTTCTTATTAATTTAATTATTGTTAAATAATCTTATATGAAAATAAATATTACCTGATTAATATAAATCATCATCTCTCAAAAGCTGTAGTCTAAACCACCTTTAGAGACCTAAACATTTCACCTATCTGCTTACTTTAAAAGTTATCACGCACTTCATACAAGCTTGAGTCTCTAGTTAAGTCAGACTTTGTTATAAAACGAAATTTAGTGACACAAATCACATACTCTATATATCAGTTATGAAATGAAATGTAATTATAATGTCGAGATACGTAACTGAATCTAATAATGAAAAAGTGCAAGATCCAGTTTCAGCATACCATGCTGATTACTTGGATCGGGCACTCGTTGAAACCTTTAATGATAATCAGGTAAAATTTTATTATAATAATAATGATAATTCATGATTTAAATTAATTATTAAAAAATATAAATAGATTCGCTTGTTAATAATAAGTGGTCCAACTGGCGCTTGCAAGACTTCAACATTAAAATACATATGCAATCAACGCAAGTACCACATTGTCGATTGGAGTGATTTTTAAGATAATGAAGGTAATGAATGAATTCAATTTTTAAAGTTTCTTTTTTTGTAATTTTACATTTTAAATTTAAATCCATACTTATTATAATTATTTAAAAAAAAATAGTATATTTATGAGTCACTTTTTAATGGACTTTCGACTTTCCTTCAATACTACAGTAAAAGGATGGAACCTCAAGGCCTTAAAAATGGATGCACTCAACAAATAATATTTTTTGATGATTTGTCTTTTTTGGATGATAAAACAAATAAAGATTTTAATGAAATAATGTATGCATATTTAAATGATAAAATGGCAAAATATCCCATAATCTTCATGATCACAGATGTGAATGATGCCAACAATGATTATGCAAGAAAAGATGAGATTAACAACAAAAATATTTTTACCTCAAATGTTGTTAATTCAGAAAGATGCAAACACATAAAGTATGTGATGATTTAATTTGGAATTACATTCAATGTCTATAATTAAATTATTTTATATTTTTAGGTTTCTTGCCATAGCAACATACTTGATGATAAATGCTCTTCAAAAATACATCAATAAAAAATATGGAAATGACAAACAAAAAAGATCAAAATTAATTCCATCAATTGAAAAAAGAACAAATGGTGATCTTAGACAAGCGATCAAGCTTTTAAGATCATTCCTAACCCACGTACCTGGAGAAGTAATGGAAGAAATAAATTCAAGCATCATCAATTAGTGATCTAAGACCGTCAAAAAAAAGCAAAAACTTCTAATACAAATAATGTTGCTTCATCATCAAAAGTTGATGTAGGTATTTTTTAATAATAATAGTAAGAATTAACCAAAATTTTGTTTCTATTTGAAGGTAAAGCATAAAATATTCACTAAAAATCATCATCCATTATTATTAGCGACACAACGTTAAACGTTTTATCTCATGACTATTTAACAGATAAATACACTGTTGTTAAAAATGTATTATATAATTTTAGTAAGTGCCTGATTTTTTAAAAAAAATTATTATTATTATCACTTTTGATTAATTATTTGTATTGAAAATATATAGGGACTGAACCTAATGTTTTTAATGAAACAAGTATCAAACTTAAAGAGTTAATTGGAAAGGAAGTTGTCCCTGATGAAATGCCTGATCGACATCCTATTAAAATAATGCCTGAAGTAAAATATATATATTATCAAACCTTCCGTAATTTTATATTCTATCATTATAATAAACTTACTTTATTTAAAAGAATTGCTTGTAGGATTCTTTGGATAATCTTGATCATGATTTCTACCTTGATTTATTGCAAAACAATTATATAAATCATTATAGTAATATATCAGAGATAGCATTTGTAGCTGAAAGGTTAAGTAGATCAGATTGTTTGATTGGATGTGGCGACATTACGGTTAGTAATGGTCTATATATGTTATGAGTCAAAATCATATGTGTTAAATATAAATTTATAATTAAAATTTTGGGTGAGGTGTTTGGATGCGAAATTCTGATCATGTCGATTTAAAATTGAATTTGACCCACAATATCTTTCCGTATGCATGCATTTATATATTATTTATACAATTAAGTATATAATATAATATTCTTGTTCATTTCTTTATTAAAATTTCTCAAAACTTTGAAGCCATGTGCTACTTTGTATGCAACAAGAAGCTTATATTTTGCACATATCCAGAAAGTAGCACCAAACCCCACTTATTCAGGATTTAAAAAATCTCCATATCTTGATACATTTGGGATTCAACGTCAAAAACATCTAGAATATCAAGAAATATTAAACGCGACTTATAAAAATGAAAATGCATCTAAAGGTAAATTAAACAATAATCTTTTATATATACATTTTATATATTTATGGATTATATTAAGATATGTGCTTTATTTTACAAAGTTAAGAATAACAAAACATGGCAATTAGAATGTGTACCATATCTCAAGCATATTGTAAAAAAAATGATATTGGTTCCAAATATAACAATAGTAGGTGTCATGAATTCTATTATATAATAATGATGATGATTGTAATGATATTTTTTTGTTTTTACTTATAGCGCAAAAGAAATATATTAATGGTTTAACAAACTATAACTCGTAAATTATTGCTTTTAATTCTCATCATACACATGAAAAAAATAAACAGGTTAATCTATATATTCAAATATATAGCACATTTAATAAATATGCACACAAGCGTATCTATCAAAGTGAAGTTTATAAATATATTTGTATCACACCACCACCAGTATATTACTTGAAAAATGAATTTGCAATTCGCGTATTTGAAATTCAAATTAACCAATCAAATTTCATATCTGAACACCCCACCCTAAATTCTAATTATAGTAATAGGATTTTCTTTTTATTGAAGTTCATCACGGCTGATACTTATTTCATTTACCATGGCGAATATTTATTTTATTTATTTTTATTACTCAGTAAGGAAGACATAATCTTATTATTTTAATTTGTATAATGGTTAGTTATCCCGTGGGTAACATATAAGCCTTGGCGGCCCCTCTCGGTAAGGAGAGGTTCTTACATGACTCGGGGAATAACCGTTTTATGCCCGCCCGAGTTTAAAATACTTGATTAATTTATGAGAAACAAGGATTACTCATTACATAATTTCGGAATAGTCGTTTTAAACCCAGTCAAGTCAAGGTACAACAAATTTTAATTAATTTAATTTTCATAGTAACAATTAATTTTCACGTCAAACAAAAAATCAAAATTATTGAATAATAAATAAAATAAATGATAAAGTCATTATACCAAAATCATTTATTGAATTTTATGTTTTTGTGAGGCAAAATTTTTAAAAATTCGTTGTAACGCGAATTTAATTATAATTTTAATTTCAAATTATTATTCGTAAAAATTACTAATAGTGTTGACATATCAATATTAATATTAAAACCCATTCGAAATTAGTTTAGTATTAGTATTAGAAAAATAATTTTTGAGGACCTAAGCTGCGAGATATTTAAAAAAAAATTTTCGTTTCAATAAATTAATTATAATTAAATATGTGTTGCAACGAATTTTTTGCTTCACATACAAAAATGAGTAATCTTGGTATAATAATAATAGTAATAAATTGAAATTAATAAAATTTCATGCATATCATACCATATTAAGTAATTTTTACCTTTGTTTAATATACAGTATAATCATGTGATTCGATCATAAAGATCGCGTGACTTGATTTTCCCACACTCTTTCGAAAAATCAAAAACAAAATATAGACATATGGGCCGGCTTTTACACATCATCTACAACATTTTTATTTATGTCAACATGGAAATATTGCTGTAAAAATCGGTTCATATGAAAGCGTTGAATACACAATCACCAAGGGAGATATATAGGTCAATTACGAAGTTGTAATATTAATAGCTTGTGATTGAACCGCAAGAAAAAGCTACTAGCCATGTTTATTCAAATAAGCATACTAGATAAGAGTTTAATTGTATAATTTGGATACTTGCCACGACCAAGTGATTTTTCAAGTAATATTGCTTCTACCCTATAAAATTTTTTTCAGAAAATGTATGTTTTTCATTAGAGGTTGGAATCGTCCAAAAAATCCTTAGTCGACTACTAGTTGGTCAAAATTTCTTTTAGTCGACTAAATTTTTTTAATACTAGCGTGTAACCATTTGCTTCGCAAAATGGTCACACTAGTCACGGGAATAACATCCTATTTAATTAGAATATTCATTCTGTTTCATTATTATTAACGTTTTTTTTTAATTTGCAGATTACAAATTCATCTCCATTTGAATCTTTAATTTTCTCGAAATACTTCCATACGAAGCTATATGTTATAATTCGTTTTTTTAAAGGTCTGGAACCACTGCTTGAGCTCGAAGCCAACGAATTGTTGGAATGATTTGACCTTGTATCAATGTTTATTATTTCGCATGGATAATTATCGCCAACACCAGCACCAACACCACCATTATCATCTTCTTCATAATATTGATACTCCGCATATTTATTTTTATTATTAAAATTTTTTTGTGCCACAAAAAACGTTTTCATTTATAAATTGGCCAGACAATAATAATAATTAGTATTAGTCAACTATTTTAGTCGATTCCAACCTCTAGCAAGAACAATTACCCTCAACTGACTCAACCAATTATTTATTATTAGGAGAAATAATAGTGGTAGAAATAGGAGTTTTTGTCTATTTGATAAGAAGAAAAAAATCAAGCAAAGTACGGACTTAATAATATTAATTTTGGTCATGTGAAACTGTTCTTTCTTTTGCAGTGTTAATTGCACATGTTTATTACACCAATAATTAAAAAATAAGTTTATTTTTCTTCAAACTTCTTTTCTTTCTAGGTTCATCATGTCTCCACATTGATGTTCTTTTATTAGTTATGATTTTTCTTTCTCTTGGTAAATTTCATAAGTAACCCTTTCTTTTCTAGATAAGCTTCAAGTGTCTGAGTATCATTTATACATTTATTTTGGAAATGTAAGAAGCATTTTTTTCACCTTGTTCTTTCTTCAAAATACTTCTAATGGTGCTATAATTTCATCGACACCCATTTCGTCGAAAGTTTGTTTCATCGAAAGTTCATTTCGTCGAATGTTCGTTTCGTCGAATGTTCATCTCGTCGAATGTTTGTTTCATCGAATGTTCATTTCGTCGAATGTTTATTTTGTCGAAAATTATTTCATCCTCGAGCCAGAGACCGAACGAGTTAGATGTGAGGAAAGTGGGGGTGTGTGTGGGAAGTGTGAGGAGAAATTTGTTTAATGAAGTTTTTTTTTTGTGATGAAATAATTTTCGACGAAATGAACTTTCGATGAAATGAATCCTTTACAAAAAAGAGTATTTATATTATAATAATAATAATAATAATATGAATTGAGAAGCCCTGCAATATATTAATAAATCAACACATTTTTCATAAATTTTTTATAACTTTCCTGTAAACTCTATAATTTTCTGTAAACTTACTATAACATTCTTGTAATAATATCAATATTTTTTCTGTAAACTACTATAACATCCTTGTAGTGATATCAATATCTTTTCTGTAGTCTCATAATTTTTTGTGAATTTATCTGTAAATATTCTGTGAAAAGTATACAAGGAAGTTGCATTTTTCTGTAACATATTTCCGTAAAATTTTTTAATAATAAATTTTCTTGTAAATTTTTTTTCATGGGGTATTACCATTTTAAAAAAAAAAATGTTCCTCCTGTATATATCAAGAAAGAATCTATCCATTCCACGATTTTTAACAAGTCTTAAACCTTGTTTAGTTGAAACAAAAAAACATTTTACAACGTTGGATCGTTTTGTGGAATTAACAGACATCCCAACCTTGTCTCAAGTATATAAAAAAGGTGGATTTGATTGTCGAATCCCAGGAACTTTTAAACGTGAAAAAATTTTTTTTTTATATTATTGTGGAATAATTATCGTTTTCTTTAATAAAAAAAAATAATGTACATTATATTTCAGATGATATAAGTCTTTCTCACAATAAAACTCTTAATGATAAGATATCTTTAATGTAAGTCGATCAATAATAATAAAAACCCTATAAAGAAAACTTATCAAGCTTTTATATTTATACTTTAAAAAAATTTTATATATAAAAGCAAAGAAGACATTACGAAATTGAAAATTGACTCAATTGGTTAGTGATTAGAAAATATGACCATATACCTATGTTTATTGATTTAATCAATAACATATTAATTGTTATTAACAATACCTGAACAACATTATAAAGAATATTTTACACTTTGTTTACATTTGATATGTAAAAAGCTCACTGATGACTTTTAAAAATTTTTTTAATAACTTTACAATATATGAATAGTTAATGCTGCAAATGAGTTTCTCATGGGAGGAGGAGGAGGTAAGGGATTGAGAAAATTCATCATAATTAAATATATGAATATATTTCCAAGGCACTGACTGATTAAATGAATAATAATTTTTTTTAGTTGATGGAGCAATTCACAGGTGAACACTCAATTATAATATTTATTTTTAAAAACTTTATGTTATCATTAAAACGTTTCTCAGATAAGAGATGAAAATTTAGAGCTGCAGGGCCAGGATTAAGGAGTGAATGTCAGAAGTTAGGAGGTTGTCCAACTGGTGTATGTAAGATTTAAATATTTAATATTAAAAGTATTTATAAGGTTTAGAAATTAACATTTTAAATGATAATTAATAATTAATAGGATGCTAAAATAACAAAAGGTAAATAATTAATTAATTGATATATATATTTATAGGATAATTCATCTTATCTTACATGCACATGTATCTTTAGGTTATAATTTACCAGCAAAATGTATGTGTAGCTATTTAGATTGAAAATAACTGAAATTCTGAAGTTATTCTATGATCCTATTTAATTATTCTACTAATTTAATGTTTAATTATTTAGATATTATTCATACTGTTGGGCCTGTAGGAGAACATGAAGAACTTCTCAATAGTGCTTATAGACAATCATTGAAAGTTATGATTGTCAACAATCTTAAGAGTATAGTAAGTTTTAAAATCACCATCATTCTTCATACTATTCAATCTACTAATAATACATTATATTAATATGTGTATGATTTAAAATTTAGGCATTTCCAAATATAAGCACAGGTTTGTTAAGTTGATACAAGTTTTTAATGTTTTATTTAATAAAGTTGGGTCATATTTATAAGAAAATTTATTAAATATTGTGTTAGGTGCTTATGGATATCCTCGTGTTGGTGCTGCACAAGTGGCTATGAAAACAATTAGAAAATGGATGGAGGATTTTGAACATATTGAAAAGGTATAAATAATAACTCAGAATTTAATGAACTTTTTTTTTTGAAACTAGGATAAAAATTAACCAAGCTAGATATTTTTTTAACAGATTGATAGAATAATCTTTTGTGTTTTTGAGGAAAGTAATAGAAGAATATATGAGGGATTATTGCCTTTATACTTTCCACCACCACCAGAAGGTAGCAATAATGATACTGATATATTGGGAAAACAAGAAAAAGAGAATGATGCTGGTACAGCAGAGAAACAAGAAGAGGGGAGTGAAGCTGATACAAGAAGAAATTAATTAAATCATGATCCACCAGTTAAGGAAAGGATTTAATTAGTGCCAATCTGAGCAAATTTTTTTAAATTTCATAGTTATAATAGTAAACCAATTTTTTGCATCCATAGAAAATCATGCATTTATTATGTTATATAAAAAAATTTTATATCAAACTATATTTACTTACAAAAACATGAGCTGTTAATTTTGTCAGTTTTCTGTTATTTAATGAGTGGTCCTGGATTGTGGGTATAAAATTCATACATTTAAATATATAAGATAATTAGAATGTGTCCCAGAAGAATGATATTATTAAATGTAAATTTATTTCTTTAATAACCACAATGGTAGCTATTGATTTTATTTATTTCTACTGTTTATTTATATCCAGAAAAAACCAACAGTAATTGTTACATATAATAATAGAGGGAAATTTATGATATTAATTTTAACAGGTTAATAAACTATCATGGATCAAAAGGTAGCAAAATAGCTATATTTAAAACAAGAATTATTGAGGCGTGTAAAGTTGGTGTCTGCAACTAAGAAATTGCAATTTGGGATGTTTCAATCTAGGTCGTGACTGGTTGCAGAATTTCAAATCAGTTGCAAATACCAACTTTAGAGGCATGGTAGATTTATTCTTATTATTAAACAATAAGCTGATTGTGTCACATGATTATAATATAAAGTTGCAAAAAAATAAGTTTGTTTATTTCTGCCAGTGATTACATAGGACCTACCTGATAATGAATGTTAAATCTGGGCATCCATATTTCTGGTAAATTTGTGATTATGATTTGAAACTATTGACTATTTTTTGGTAGGCTTATAAGAATTTGATCCAAGAACTTACAGTGACTTTTTAAATATTTAGAAATTCATATAGTCCCAAGATTTGCTAACTTATTGTTGAAATTCTTTATAATGGTTGTAATTTGATTTTATCATTTGAATCATCAAATTTGAAATGTTCATTATTAGAGAACTTGATTATGAAAAATTAAATGTCCCATTTAGTAATCTTAGTGATGATTAAGTATACCAGTTACAACTTTTGATGGTGGTTGCAACCTAATTGCAACCAAATTTTTAATTCCGGCAGATATCTTGATGGGGAATATTCTTTTTCATATTCTTCAAAAAAAAAAGACCTGTTACATATAACAATTACACAAGAGATTATAGGTTCTGAAGATTATATAAAATTCAATACTTCCAAAATAAAAAAAGGATCCTGGGCACCACCTTAAAACCTATTATTTTTACTAGCTATTTTTTAATAGTACAATAATATTATGTTAAAAACAGAAATAAATGAGATCCACTAACAATAAAGGCATTCATCATTCAAATGCTCAACCACACCCAATTACTATAGTCTTTAACATGTTGGTGCTTTGTGCTTTTTTCAATTGGTCTTTCTCATCACATTAATGCAAGGTGTCATTATTACTACATATGTAAACTTAATAAGTCAGCCAAAATTTTTACCCCATTTTCTTAATATTTAGGCAATTTAATTTGATAAGTCAGTTTACTCAATAAGTCAGCCATATGAGCTTACCCCCACATGACTGACTTATCGAGTTACATATGTATTACTGTTAAAGCCTTGAAAGATAGCACCCCTTTTTACAATATGATCGACAGTGTATAAATTTCAGTGTGTAACTAAGCAGATTTCTACAAATTTAGAAACTATCTGCAGAAAACTACTAATGTATGATGTTACACCTGCACATTTCGCACATTGAATTTTATACTTGTTCACATTGGAGGGATGTTTAAGCTATAGACTGTTATTCAGTATTGTAGTTCATCCTACTAACCAATTGGTGAGAAAATTTTATTGCCTGCATGGGTATTATGCTGTATGGGCTGGTCCTTAAAATGTATTTATTTAGTACCACACAGAGTTTCTTTGCATGATGGCCACACAAAAATGATAACTTTGCATATATATGTACTGATATTATATGTATTTTTCCATGATGTGTTTTTGATATAACTGAGAACTAATACATTATTTTTTTATTTTAGTTTGAAATTGCTTTTGAGGGGTCTGTAGTCTTCATGATCTTGGTGTCGTTAAAATGAATAGAGAGAAGCCTCTTAACTTAAATCAAATTAAGGATAATATAGAAAAGCTGAAAGCCAAACTTAATAGAGATACAACCCCACTCTATCAAGGGTTGTATTATAGTGTAGATAAGATATTTGTTGACGAATTATCCTGGAAAGATCCCTTGGCTAGCCAGGTTATTAGCGATAACTTGGATATTGTGGAGAAATTATCTGAAGGCTTAAAAAAAGGATTCATGGTACGCATAATCTTATGAGGTTCCGATTTTTTACATTTGCTATTAATGCTATATGATACTATTTATGGATTCTTTTTTTAGAAACTGGCTCATAATATGATGCCCGAACCCATACCAATGGTTAAAAAAATGTGTGGAGAATTTGTATCAAATTTCATTACCCGGGAGAACATTACAAGTTGGGATAAACTGAAGCATGATGGTAGATGGAAAGAACGAGAAGAAGATATCAAGCAGATAGTAAATGAAATTTTTAGTGGGTTGAAAGACGTTTGGAGTAACCCAGCATTTGAATCTGAATTTGCAAAATCATTAAATGAGGGGATATACCAATCTACCGTCATAGTGTTAGCAATTCAAGCTGGATTAAAAAATCCCCCTATGGGAAACTCTTTTTTATTAGTACCTCAGAGAAACAAAGTATCACTAGCGCTAATAGAAAAGGAGAAGGATATACCAGGAGATGACCAGATATGGGAGCTTTTCTAGCAAAAAAGGGTTTCGACCTCATATAACCAAAAAAAATTTTTCTACACAATATTGATCTATAACATAAAGATTATAATTGGCAAAAATATTAGACCCTGTTTGCTTAATAAAAAAAATGGAGAATTGTAGGCCGGATACCTTTTTAAAGTAATTTGCACGCGATCTACATACCCCATTTTTTATTGT